TCAACGAGAACGACAATGTATCATAATTTTAATTTTCATGGAAACCATCGAACAATGGTAAAGTAGAATCCATGAAAAAAAAACCGTTTCAGTTACTATGCTTAAAAATTAAAAAAAAAACTACAAAAAGGAAATAGACATAAATAGAAATATATAGAAATAAATAGAAATAGATACAAAGAAGGAAATAGACACAAAAAAAAGTGCAGTAAAAGATAGATGAAAGGCAGACTACAGAAGAAAACAAACACGTATAGGTCAAGAAGAAGATAGTTGAAGAGATAGCAGATGGCGCCTCAAGGCATTTTTAAAACTTATTAAACTAGCTGCATTGCGAACAACGGCAGGCAAATCGTTCCACTACGCAATCGTCTGTACTGTAAAAGATCCGTGGTAGATTTCAGTACTATGGACTGGAAACATGAGTGCAGAGTCCGACATTGATCGAGTGGGCACGTCATGTGATGCTCCAAAGTGAAAGGCATCAGACAAATCTGGTCTATGGTGCTTGCATAACTGGGGACAATCGAAGGCGGGTGCAGCATGTCCAAAATGGGTGCTTAAGACTAATTTATGGAATTCGAAAGTACTGCAGAATTTCACATAAGTTAAAAGAATGTGGGTGGGTAAATATGTATAACAGAATCATTTTTCACAGGGGAGTAGTTTATTTTAAAATTTTAAATAAAAAAACACCTGTTTATCTGAGCAAGAAGATATCGTATCGTACTGACATCCACAATATCAATATTCGTCGAAAAGATGCACTTACAGTTCCTCGTCACGCGTCGGCGTCATTTCGGAATTCTTTCACTTATTGTGTGACAAACTTTTGGAATACCCTTCCTCGTTCATTAAAAATATTGAGCCTGTCGAGTTTTAAATATAAATACAAGCGATATCTCTGTGAGCGGCAGATGGAATCAATTTAGGTTTTCTAGAGTAAAATTTTAATTTTTATTTGTTATTTGCTTTATTCATGCATTCAATTTTTGTTTTTTGTATTTTTTGTCTTGTGCGCTGTATTCATTTTCACTACTTACTTACTTAGAAGCAATATGTTGTGTTCATGGGGACTGGGGGAAGAGCAGACCTCACTACTTTGTGGTGTTGTCTGACCCAGCCACCTGTTAGCCTTTGCAATTTTGTTGTAATTTTGTTTTTGTAACTTTATA